CCTATCTTCACTTCCATTCCTTCCCATTCCAGTTGTCACATGACGTTCTCGAGGGTGGCACTGAAGAGTTTTGGTGAAATGGTATCACTCTGCCAAACCCCTCTCTTGACGTCAATTATCACCTCCCTATAAAATGACGAGACCCTGGTAGTGAATCCACAATACAGCTCAGGGAGGATCCTGATGTATTGAGTGTGAACACCCTGTTTGGCTAGGGCCTCTATGACCACTTCAGTCTCAACAGAATCAAAGGCCTTCTTTACATCAATGAACATTAGACAGTGCGGCATCTTGAACTCCCGAGAAACCTCAATGAGCTTGGTTATCGTGTGGATATGGTCGATTGTGCTAAATCCTTTTCGGAAACTGGCTTGCTCGCAGGTTGTCCTTCATCTAGTGTTCTTCCAATCCTATTCAGGATGACTTTAGTTAACAGCTTGTAGACAACAGACAATAGGCAGATTGGGCGATAGTTGCCAGTGTCCTGGATGTCTCCCTTCTTGTACACTAGTACAGTCCTGCTGGTATTACATTGGGACAGAACGTTGCATTCAGACAAGTAGCTTTTGAAGAACCAAGCCAGTGTATTGATGAGTACTTAAGGCAGGTTCTTCACTTGTTCGGGTCTGATCTTGTCTGGGCTGGGTGCTGTTTGCATCTTTATCCCCATTCTTTAAATGGCATGTCGGATTTCGGAAAGGAGAATGTTGGGAACAACATATCCATCCTGCAGAATTTGGTATGTGGGCAGGTGGACGTGGCAATTGAAGAGACCCGAGTAGAAGTCATGGATAATATTCTCCATTGCCCTTCTGGAAGATGTGATTATCTCTCTATGATGTCTTCCTTTATCACTTCTCTGCACTGCTTTGTGAGCACAAACGTTCGCTTGCAGTTGGCTGAGGGTTGTGCCAAGCCACATTCGAGAATGAGCTCGAGAGTTTTCGAAGACAGGCATTTTTTTGTGGCTATATCTCTCGGCATTCTTCGCACAATCATGGAGGTGCTGAACCAGTTGATCGTATTCCTTGTCAATGTTGTCAACGATGGCATCTTCCCAAGTTGCCACAATAGTGCCAAAGAGCTCCCAGTTAGTGTTCGTTCTGAAAGTTCTCTTCTTAAACTTTGCAGCCCTTTCTTCCCTCTCTGTGAAGTAGAATTTTGCATGAAGGAGACGGTGGTCCAATCCCGTTTGGAATTTTGGGACAACAGCAACATCCACCAGACAAGACCGTTGATTGAATATGATGTGGTCAACTTCATTGTGGAACTGTCCACCGGGAGACTCCCATGTCCAATGTTTAGATTCGGCCTTCTGGAATTGTGAGTTACCATGGATGTTCTTGGTCAACATGATAAACTCGAAGAGTCTCTCACCCTGTTCATTCCATTCTAGGCCATGAGTCCCAATGTGGAGTTCTTCGGCTGATCTTCTCAGTACTATCCTGGCATTAAAATCACTGACAATGATCTTATAGAAGGTGTGGTCTTCTTTATCAAACTTCTCCAGCTCCATGTAGAACTTCTCAATTTATCCTTCATCATAATTGGATGTTGATGTGTAGACTATGAAGATAGAAACTGCCGGCAGTGAGCCACATCTATTCAAGTGTAATTATCCAATTCGGATTGTTAGGCATTTGAATGAATCAATGTTTATGACCAAGTTCATGTTGACAAGGACACCGACACCACTGATGCCTCTTTTGTTGCATGTTCTGAGGAACAGTTCTTCTCCAGTGTCAAAATTGGCATGATATGATTGATACCTTCTCATTTTGGTCAGACCAATGATGTCGTGCTTAATCTTTCGTGCTTGTACCATCAGGTCCTCGATGGATGCATCCAATGCCAGAATATGTGCATTGAAAATACAGACAGTCATTTTTGTCCTTCTTCGTTTTGGCAGCCTAGGTTGGCCCTGAGATTTTATCAGCCTCTCCTTCCTCATCCTTCTTAATGTTGCCATATTGGTGGCTCTTTTGGGGTCAGGGGAATAAGATCCATTGTATTTACTGGTGTTGGCATATCGAATACACCACGGATAGCTTGCCAGGCTCTGCCATGTGGGCGAAACACTCTCGGTTGCTTTCCAGGCTTGCTGAGAGGGATAGAAGCTTTTAGGATGCCTCTAATCATCCTTGAAGGTGTTCCCATGACTCAAACCATATTTCAATGCAATCAAATATGGTGCGGTAATCTTGTAATAAGTGTTTTATGATGGGTCAGGAAAGCGTTGTGGAGCATGTCAGTGGCTGGGTAGTGGAGGTAGTGGAGTTAATGGAGGTCTGCCGGGCTGCTGGGAGCAGGCTGGGGATCTCTGTTCCTGGGTCCATTGAGCCTAGAGTCTGAGGTCACAGAATTCCACTTCCCTCCCTCTGTGGGGTTTCACTTGTGCGTGAGTCTTGGCCTAAGTGTCCAGAAAGGTTCTGGAGTGTGTTGGCAACTGGGTAGTGGAGGTAATGAAGGTAATGGAGGTCTGCCATATTAAAATAATATTTTTAAAATATTATTTAAAAATAATAAAAGTGCTGATTTTACCCCATGTGCAATTATAAGCGTATAATTGATGAAGAGGCAATAGAAACAAAAATAAAGCCAGTAAACTTTGATAAGAAAAAGTTTACTTAAGGATTTCAAGGTGGCAATAGGAAAAAGAAGAGATACTAAAACAAGTAAATTGGTGGGATTTTCTTGGAGCAATGCAAATTTTATTTTCAAATAAAACAAAAGTACAAAGAATAGTACTGGTGGATTAGAATCCAATATACAGTTAGATTTATAGGCTTCTATGGAAGCAGTTATATGGTCATAAAAAAAACAAGAAAGTTTTAGTAACTAGAATGTTAATTATTCATGTCCGAGTCACCGGGTTATTAAAGAATGTCACCTACTTTCAAGAAACATTTTATTTAAAAATTAGCTTTATGTGGCTTTTGGAACAAGTCTACTAATGCCAATAAACAAAGCTGTATAAAAACATAACAGAGTTTTAATTCTATGAAATATTGTGAAAGGAATATAAGAAATAGGGAATTTGCAAAACCCTATTGTTGGAGTACACGGAGCTTAGGTTTATCAGATTGTACCCATCACAGTGCTCCCGAGTCACTCCCATTACTTTGTCAGTCTGTAACCACTTCTATGCTCTCTTCCCCAACCAATTTGTAAGGTCTCATCCTTCTTAGACACTGAAGCTGTACTGTAAGTTAATATTGCCTTTCTCCTCTCCTTATGTCTTTTGAGTGTTGGGATCGGGAGTTCCCTAGCCCTGGGAGGCGCGGAGAGACCAGATAGACACAATTCCTGCAGGAGTAAAAACGGGGTTTATTTAGACCAGCATGCTGGGGCTCCGCAGCATACCCCAAAAATGGGCAGTGGCTGAGAGCCCCGAACTTCTTCAAAGGGGATCTTATATAGGCCTTCACTGGCCGTTACAGCAAAGCCCGCGCATTTCATAGCCAATAGATTTGTAACAACATATACTTTCTTAACCAATCCATTTAAAAGTACCTCACTCCTTAGCCTATAGATTCAAAGATCAGCATTTACGTACATCGTACATCGATTGTCAGCACAAGCAAGGTTATAGCCGGAATCATTAAGTCTTAGGTAATCTCCCTTGACCATCCTCATTTTGTGTTACCCAAGTCTGCAGGGTGCTTTAGTGAGACAATACATTCCAGGAAAGGGCAATTTCCCCCAACCACCCACATCCTGAGTTATCCTTTACCCAAATCTGCAGGGTGCTTTACTGAGACAATAGTTTTCAGGGACAGTAAATACACCTGAATCTTGTAGAAAGAATTTATGCCCTGTTCACTTTCCAAGTCCCCTCTCCCCCAGGTGCAAAGCAGCCAAGCAGTTTTACAGAAAGCAATGTTGCAAGTTAGTTAAAGTACACAAAAATTTGATGCCCTAACATGGATTCTTTCATGAGCAGTTTACTTTAATGCAATGTCCTTTTGTATAGATACAGGAAGACAATTAATTAATATTATGCTTTATAACTTAGGAATTAATTGGCTTTGGATATTATTCACTCCTGGGCATCTGCCTTCTCAACTTAAGCCTCAGTTGCCCTCACTTCCTAGCATCCCAAGGGCAGGGTCCCGACGTGGGACTGGATGGAACCAGGGCAAGCCGGTAAGTTATGTGCTACCCTGGCATCGCGATGGGCCAGGCCAAGGTGCCACAATTCTTAACTATAAGTTAGGAGTTTGATCATAGGCAAATGCTGTCATGATCCAAAAGTAACGACAAGACTAGGGCCCTGCTGCTAGGAATAGGAAAGATATCTGGCCTGAGCACTGCAGTCTGAGATCGAGATGACCCTAGGAGAGCAATTCTATAAGCTCAAAGTATTTCTTACTGTGTCCATACGAAATGATTAATATTATGTATGCTTATATGTTGGTTGGGCAAGGAGAGGAGAAACACTTCCTAGAAGCAGTTTTCTGTGTGTCCTGACTAGCTTGGATGAAACTGCTTTTTTGGAGATGTAGATTCCAAGCTCTAGCAGACTGGTCTTTGTTGTGCTAATCTAAGTGCTTGTAGCTTGTGAAAAGGTGAGGCCAGGATTACTGGCCTGTGGATGTAAGGAAACAATGTATGTTTGCTGCCTCAGTGTTCTTTCTGTAACTCCTTTTGATGACATCATTATATTGCACCCTTTAGAGGTGCTATGATCTATATAAGGGAGATTTCAGGGCTCTCTGGGGGGACACGTGCATCAGAGAACCTGGGAAGATGGGGCTGAGGACAGAAGCGGAGAGAACATAGGCGCACGTGCTCGAGGATTCCTGAGGCCTCCATGACATACATCTCTTCCATGTAATAAACGGCTACTAAGACCAACTAGCTTGGCCTCGTTTCCTTCCTTCACCTGACCATCGCCATCGACCTCCCTGGAGTGGGGAAGCGGCCAGACCGTCGGCTTTTTATTTTTTGTGTGTTTACACACCTATGAACTTTGACGTTTACTGAGGGACCAGAATTTACTAAATTCTTGCCAAGTCCGAGTTAGGGTCACAGCTGGTAAGTTCTATTGAAACAAATACAAGTCTGGAGAGCACGACTGAAATGTTCCTATGACTATCCCCTGGGAATAGCTAACATGCACTTGCTGACCATCATCCTTCTTACTGTGTGGGCTTCCTGTGCCCAAGGACAAGGTAAGTTGAAAACAGATATAAGAATACTATATTGTATTATTTATTTGCATGTTTCTAAAACTTGAAGTATCTGAAAGAGCAGAAACCTCTTTTTAAACTGATAATGGAGAATATATTTGTAAGAAACATATCATATTTATGCCAGGGGAGTGTAACATAACTTATGTATTCTCTCTCTTGACATCCACAGCATGAAACACTACTTAATAATTTTCTTTGTTTTTGCATGGTTGGGAGGCACACTCTGTGATTCTTAGGGACAAATTCTAACTGTACATTCAGGAATCAATCTTGATGATGCCAGGGATCAACCCCATGTCATCCACATGTCAGGCAAACACCCTAACCACTGTACTATCACTCTGACCCCCACAACTACTTAACATTTGGCGATATAGAAATACCCTCACAAATCATTTAGAAATATGTCTCAAAATATGTAAACATATTTTATAACATATTACATATTTTATATAAAATATGTAATCATATTTTATATAAAATAACACAATCATTCAAATTGTGTTAAGGTTTGTTCTTGTATGAATACTCTTTCCATCGGGGGCGCAGAGACAGAATCGTGAGTAGAATTCCAAAAATGCCTGGAGACCTGCAAGCTCGCTCTGGAATGGCAGGGTGAAGAAGTGTCCCACGACCTCTTTAATTTATTATACTACATACTCACATCTAGTGCACTCAGTACAAAGAAATCATTGGCTGAGAAAAGGGGTTACAAGGAGGGACATCAGGACATCCAAGCATACATTGTTCTGTCATGTGTGCAATACCAGTGGTCGCACTCTCCAGAGAGGAATGCAAGGCCAAGCAGTCTGACACCATGAACTGCAGCTCCTTTCACCTGGAGTGAAAAGGGGATGTGAAAGAATGTCTGCATCCCAAAGCTGAGCTGGGTTAGGGATCTGAGAAGGGAAGATTTTTTCTTTTAATACTAAGAGCTAAAAGGCAGCCAGGGGAAAAGATGTTAACCCTTTCCATACCAGTCCAGAAACAGGAGTCATGGCTTGCCAATTTCATGGGGCCTGTGTTCCTGCCTGCTTGCAGGTCAGTCCCCGCGGACCCAGCCTACCAATTCTGGTTGGGCACCAACAGTTGTTATTCAGCTCATTAATACTTAACCTTTGGGAGTGATATATTTTTATACACTTTCATACACAAATATTTGTTCAGATTCATAAGTCAAACTCATGAAGTCAACAAATATGTAGTTAATATGGGTTTTAATTACACCTTAATAAATTAGAGATGGGGAGAGAAAGAAAGTGAGAAAGAGAGTGAGAGAGAAGCAAAGTGCTTGTCGTACTAATATACCAAAGCCTAAAAGAGTACATTAGTATGACAGGCTAAGTGATGGTGGTGGGGGTGTTGGAGGAAGAGGGTGAAAGGGATACTGGGGATATTGGAAATTGGTGCTGGGAAATGTACACTGGTGGAGACATGGGTGTTGGAAGATTGAAACCCAATCATGAACAACTTTGCAATTGTCCACTTTCTAGTGATTCAATGCAATTTTTTAGATAAAATGTAAAAACAAACAAACAGTGTCCTCTCATTGTTCATCAATTTGCTCGAGCGGGTCCAATAGCATCACTTATCAAGTAAAATGAAAAGCTCCAATAAATAACAATAAATTATAGTTTAAATTTCAGGGTTCACTAGCAAACATAAAGTAAATGAACTAATTTAATAGCATTAATATATCATATTGCCTGCTTATATAATTTCACTTTTATAGTAAAATGTATTATGTTAGCTACCACTGAACGTGATCTTTCTACATTGAGAAAATACAATTTTATAACGTTAATAGTTTCTGAAGCATATCATTCACATAGTCTTTAAGATATCATTCATATAATTACATATCCGTTATCTACCAAATTTCCACTTCGCAGAATTTTCGTTTGGAAATTTTCTTGAAGGCTCTTTTTCACTTTAAAAATTAATTGCTCTCATTACTGACTAATTATAAATAAAGCATCTAATGTTCTTTATGATATATCATTTATGAATAAAGTCTGAATTACTATGATTTCTTCCTATGTTTATAAGGCTTGGTTTTAATAATTAGCATAATTTTCTGCATGCAGAACTTTTGTCTACTATTCTGTCTATATTTCGGTAATCTTTTCATGAACAACAATAATAACACCCACAGAATATAAAGCTTCTTTTTTTCCAGCTTAAAGCTCTACTTCATCAGCAAAGTCTTTCTACAAGTAGCCCTTGAGCTGTATGCCTTTTAGGCTTTGGGTACACACATATTTTTCAAGCAAAGAAAGGGATCCACCTACTTGAAGAATAGTTGTGAGGATGTAGGCCTCTTTGTGTTTTGAACAAGCCGGGGTTGAATTGTTCCTCTCAAAATTCAAATGTTCCTATGATACAGTTCAGTAGAATTCAAGCCTTGCATATGTAAGGTGCCAGGTTTTGGTCTCCACTACAGCCAAAATGAACAGAGAATAAGTAAAAGCCATTGTGGAAGATAAGGGAGAGAGCTCAAAGGGTTCAAAGGGCTGGACCACGTGCCATGGATTTAGTCTCTGCCACCAGATGGCTTCTCTAGGACCGTCTGTATAGTTCTGGTGGCCCCTTTTACCAGCCAGTCCTAGTAGGCCAAGCATTGAACCACCAGACCTACATTCTTGGGACAGGTGATGCCAAGCATGACCCCAGGTCCTGAGTTCTATGTAGGAGGCATGATCTCCCCACCCAATTCTATTTGGATATTCTTACTCCTAGGGATTTACAACGTGTGTGGGTACAGAATTAGGTCTTCAAGGTGGTAATTAAGATAAACACAATAACAACAAGTCTCATGATGGAGACGTTACTGGGCCCGCTCGAGCAAATCGATGAACAACGGGAGGACAGTGACAGTGACAGTGAATTAAGATAAAACATTTCAAGACACATAGTGAGGTAATAACAAAGGTCCATAGTTAACAGAATGGGAGAAATGATATACATAACTGAATTGGGAAGGGGATAAGTGAGACTCCAATAAGTGACTTCAAAATAAATTGACTTTTTACAGTGTGGACAGTAATAATAAAAATTGTTTTACCATCTTCCAAGCACATATATTCATATGCATATAGTCATATAGACTGACTTGAAAGAACTGAAACATCATGAGGTCATCAAATACAACTGTACTCCTTTTGCTTTGGTGGGATGGGTTCACATACAACTGTGATCAGACTTTATTCCTGACTATGTGCTCACGGGTCACTCCTGGTGAGGCTAGCAAGAAAATAAGGTATGCCAGGGATCCGACCTTGGTCAACTGCATACAAGACAAGCAACACAAGATCCAGATTGTTCCAGTTTTCAGATCATCGTGTAGTAGAATAATGAAGCCACATAAATTGTAAGTTCATTAAAATAAATATTAAAATTAAATAGAATATCTGTTCTCATAAAATACTATTTATTTCTTTAGGAGGAACTTGTGACTTTCCCAAAATAAAACATGGAAGCATATATAATGAAAATAGATATGAGCATCTGTTCCCAGTTGCTATTGGAAAATATGTCTACTATTCCTGTGAACAGAGCTTTGCATCTCCAAAACAGTCAGTCTGGACACGAATAGAGTGTACAGCAGAAGGATGGTCCCCCGATCCACAGTGCCTCAGTAAGTAACATCCCCCTCATTTTCTAAAGGAACCAGGGTGTTCAATGAGCAGAGAGCAATGCTAAATGGGGCCACAGAGATATAGGGGAAGGGCTGGAGGAGCTCACAAAGACATTTTGTTTTATGAAAGTTCTTTTAGCATGAAATATGTAAAGCAAACCAATAACTTACAGTTGCTATAGACTATAAGTTCTTCAATTTGGGTTTTTTCCGTTCTGGAGAAGCCAGTATTCTCTTTTGAACATCTCTCTCTCTCTCTCTCATTCTTTCTTTCTGTCTTTTACTTTATCTCCCCTATATTTCTTATATTTTTGCAAATAAATTAATGAATTATTTCATTTGAAATGCTAATGAGAATAATTTCAAATGCCAAAAAGTTATACAAACTTATTTGAAATTGTATTAAAATTTTACCTAACACGTGGTTTTTCTTTGTTTTTCTTTTTTTGATATTTTTTATAAAAGACCTGTGATATACAAAGTTGAGTTTTAGGCATATAATAATTTACAATACCAATCCCACCACCAGTGTCAACCTCCCTCTACCAGTGTTCCCATATTCACGCCACATCCCAATCACCACCTCATCCTCACCTGTCAAAAGTGTCAGAGGTACGTTACATAGTTTCAGTGATTGCTGCTTAGATGTCCTGCTTCCAATGTTGTTGACTTTGTGTTTGAGATCTATGGATAACTTTACCACTCAGCCATATCACCAGTATGACTCAAGCCCTGATACTTGTTCACTGCTACTTTCCATTCTCTTTGTTCCCTCTTGATTTCTGCCTTTGTCTCTAAACGCTCAGGTCTCAGGTGATTTAGGCATCTCCCTTTTACTACAATACATATCATCAATCAGAGATCATTCTGTGTTTGTCTTTCCTTTGGCTTACTTCTTCCTACACAATATCTTACAGTTTCAATCAGTTTGCGCAAATTCTATGATTTAATCATTCCTTACAGCTGGGTGGTATTTCAGATGTTTATATACTACATTTTTATAGTCCTTTTGATGTTATTAGACCCCTAGAGTAATTCCATATTTTAGCCATTGTACTGATTGCAGCAATGAATAATGGTGTGCATATGTCTTCTTGAGAGAGTGTTTCTGTGTCCTGGGAGTAGATGGCCAACAGTGGTTTTGTTGGGTCCTAAAGCAGGTCAATTTTAAGTTTACTGAGATCTCTCCATACTGTTTTCCACAGGGTTTGTACCAGAAAACATTTCCACCAGCAGTGGATCAAGTTTCTTTTTCATCACATCTCCAACAACACAGATTTTTCCCAGTGTTTTTGATAGGTGCTATTCTCACTGATCTATAATAATATCTCATTGCCATTTTGATTTGGCTTTCTCTGATGAGAAGTGATGCTGAGAATTTCTTCAGAAGTGATTCTTCATTGACTTCTCTGTTCTCAGAGGACACAAGAACACTCTCACCTATAGTCTGGGGTTATTTTGTGCCAAGGCTCCTCAGTGTTTTCCCATGTACATCCAAGTATGGGGTACTGTATGTGCTACAACCCTTTGATCTACATATGCAGTGCTCAAAATATTATTTCCTTCTTTGTTAGCTAAAGGACCTTTATTTTATTTGATTTAATATTTTTCATATTTTAATAAGCTGATCTTTTATATTTTTACCTTTATAGAAATACGATTTTTCAATAGTATATTTAACATTTTTACTGCTTGGTTTGAGGGATTTTGGCCACACATGTCTGTGCTATGCCATCATTCCTGATGATGCTCAAGGGACAGGAGATTGAGCAGGGGTTATCTGAGAGCACTTTTTTCCCTATCACCAGTGCAGAAGAAGAAAAAGGGAAGGAGATAAAGTAGTAGAGGAGACAAAGATTAAAGTTATCACCTACTCTAGAAAGTATTTAGATCATTAAGTGAGACAAAGCAGAAACTTTTTAATGTCTAAAAAAGTTAAGGGGTATAAATAGTTCATAAATACAAATGAGGATTAATTAAATTACATATAAGTTTGTTTTGTATTGCTTGTTATTAATAATTGGCTAAGAATTATCAAAAAAAATTTCTTAGAGGAAAGTTGTGAAGATTGAAGATTGTTGTATTTCACCCAGGATCCAATAAGTCCTTCCATAAGAGATTAGTAACATGTTGCTAAAGGTTGAGTCTGTGTGCATATGTATATATATATATATATATATGTGTGTGTGTGTGTGTATGTTTGTTTATAAATATATTAACCTCCTAAGATGGGTTGCCTTCTGCTTTAAACCTCACCAAATGTGGTGTGGTACTCTTGGTATATTGGTGGTGTAAAGTATGAGATGCTACGTATTCACAGCAGCCCAGTCCAGGAATAGCTTTATCCTGGCAGTGGTTAAGTTCTGGAAGTTTTTAGCTGCAAGGCTGACTCCATTGTGGGGGAATGAACCTCACCCACTCCTCCTCTGGATTGCCCGAATGAAACAGCCTGGTACGGGGTCAGGAGCCATCTCTAGGCATATAGTTCTGAATTTATGTATTAAGTTTGAAAACATAAATATTTATTAAAAAAATTTTAATAGTGAGACATCATGAGGTACAGTTGCAGACTTACGCATTTTTGTGCTTGGGTTTCAATTATACAATGATCAAATACCCATCCCTCCACCCGTGCCCATTTCCCACCATCACGGATCCCAGTATCCCTCCCACCCCCCATCCCCCCATCCCACCCTGCCTCTGTGGCAGGGCATTCCCCCTTGTTCTCTCTCTCCTATTGGGTATTGTGGTTTGCAAAAGAGGCAATGGGTGACAATCATGTTTAGTCTATAGTCTACTTTCCGCATGCTTCTCTCATCCTGGGAGGATCCTCCCAACACCTTTATTTGGTGTTCCCTTCTTTATCTGAGCTCCCTTTTCCCCTAGTATGTGTGGTTGGCCTCCAAGCCATGGAGTAAAATTCCTGGTATTAATCTCCGCCATTCTTGGGTGTTAGTCTCCTATTTTGTTACTTTATGTTCCCCAGATGAATGCAATCTTTCTATGTCTATCCCTTTCCTTCTGAGTCATTTTGCTTAACATGATACTTTCCATGTAGTACCACTAGTATGTAAATTCCGTGACTTTGTCTTTTCTAACAGCTACATAGTACTCCATTGTGTAAATGGACCAAAGTTTCTTTAACCAGTCATCTGTTCTCAGGCACTCAGGTTTTTTCCAGATTCTGGCTATTTTAAAGAGTGCTGCAATAAACAGACAATTGCAGATGTCACTTCGACTATACTTTTTTGCCTCTCTGGGATATATTCCCAGGAGTGGTATTGCTGGATGAAATGGGAGCTCAATTTCTAATTTTTTAAGAATTGTCCACACTGTTTTCCAAAAGGGCTGAACCAGTCGGCATTCCCACCAACAGTGAAGGAGTGTCCCTTTCTCACCACATCCTCGCCAGCACCAGTTGCTTTTGTTCTTGTGGATATGGGCCAGTCTCTGAGGTGTGAAGTGATATCTCATTGTAGTTTTGATCTGCATCTCCCTGATGATTAATGATGTGGAACATTTTCTCATGTGCCTTTTAGCCATTCGGATTTCTTCTTTGTGAAAGTTTCTATTCATTTCATCTCCCCATTTTTTGATGGGGTTGAATGTTTTCTTTTTGTGGAGTTCAACCAGTACTTTGTATATCCTTGAAATTAACTCCTTATCAAATGTGTATTTGGCGAATATCCTTTCCCATTCTGTAGACTGTCCTTGTATTTTGGTCACTGTTTCTTTTGAGGTGCAGAAGCTTCATAGTTTAAGATACTCCCATTTGTCTATCTCTGTTGAAAACATAATTTAATTTAATTTATTATGCGCTTTGTGAACTTTATCTTAAAGTTGGCAAACTGTGATGTATTTTTTATTTTAAGTTATGTAATATTCTTCATTTGGGTTTTTAGGACACTGCATTTTGCCTTCTGTGGAACATGGCCATTCTGATTATTCACAAGTAACACATTTGGAAGGCGAAACTGTGAAAATTACCTGTGATATAGGCTACAGTCTCCCAAATAATCAGAGGATAATTACATGTACAGAAAGTGGCTGGTCCACTGAGCCTATATGCATTCCATACCGTAAGTAGAAATTTGTCATCTGCAATCTAGCATTTCTTTCTATTTACAAAGCAGGTGCTAGAAAGTATGTGCAGTATAAATCTTGTTATTATTTTCATATTTTTACTATTAATAATACCTCAGTAGAGATAAGAAATCTCTTTCTCTTTATTTGTGAGTCTTGCTAGTTGTTTATCGATCTTGCTTATTTTCTCAAAGAACTCTTGGTGTCATTGATCTGTCATCATGTTTTGGGCTTCCATCTAGTTAGTAACTGCTCCAGATTTTGTTTTCTTCATCCTACATAGTTTGAGCTCCTTTTGGGTTTTTTTTTTGTGTGTGTAAAAATATTTAATAGTTATATAAAAAACAATTTGTTACATATACATAGTAAAGGATATTAATAAAGCAAATTCTAGTGTAACTATGCTCCATCTTATTTTTTTAAATTTTTATTAGTTAAACACCATGAGGTACAGTTGTAGACTTACAAATTTTTGTGCTTGGGTTTCAGTTATACAATGATCGAGTACCCATCCCTCCACCAGTGCCCATTCTCCATCACCCCTAATCCCAGTATCCCTCCCACTCCCCATCCCCCCATCCCACACTGTCTCTGTGGCAGGGCACTCCCTATTGTTCTCTCTCTCCTTTTGGGTGCTGTGGTTTGCAAAAGAGGAATTGAGTGGCCATCATATTTGGTCTATAGTCTATCTTTTAGCATGCATCTCCCATCCTGGGCGGATCTTCCGAGCACCCTTTATTTGGTGCTCCCTTCTCTATCTGAGCTGCCTTTACCCCTAGAGAGTGAGGCTGGCCTCCAAGCCATGGAGTAAACCTCCTTTTGTTGGTCAGTTTCCAAGATCTTAAGCCGTTTGGTTAAATTATTTTTATGGGCTCTTTCTTTCTTCCTGATGAATGCTAGTAGAGCCATAAACTTTCCTCTTAATACTACTTTTTCTCTGTCCCACAAGTTCTGGTCATTTATTCTCCTTTGTTTCCAAGAATCTTTGGATTTCCACTTTGACTCTCTCTCTAGGTCACTGGTTGTTACTAGTGATTTGTTTAATTTTTATGGTTTTTTTGATTCTCCATTTCTGGGTCCGATTCACTTCTATTTTCAGTGCTTCATTGTCCAAAAAGATAGTTGAAATCATTTCTATCCTTTTAATTTTCTGCAGTTAAGTTTTATTGTCCTGTGTGGTATATCTTGGAGAATGTCCTGTGTGCACTGGAGAAGTGTATTCAGCTTTTGGGGAATGAAAATTCCTATTTATATCAACTCCTTCCTCCTCATCCATTTCTCCTTTTCTTCCCAAATGAGTTACAATCTTAATTAGGACCACTTATGAGTGATGAGTTTTTTCGCTTACTTCACCATTGCCTCTTTTTCTTTGAGGGTGATACTTTCATTAGGATAAAGTTCAATATGTATCTCTAGGTCTAAGTTCAATCTACTTGGAGTTTGCTGAGATCCTTCTATATAAAAAAGTGTTTTATCAATTAGGAAGATTTCATCTATCACTTTAATAAGAATTCATTTTTCTTAATAAGTCACGGTCGTCCTGTTATTCATCTATTTGCTCAAGCGGGCCCAGTAACTTCTCCATCGTGAGACTTGTTGTTACTGTGTTTGGCATATTGAATACGTCACAAGTAGCTTGCCAGGCTTTGCTATGCAGGCGAGATACTCTCGGTAGCTTGCCTGGCTCTCCGAGAAGGGCGGAGGAATAAAACTCAGGTCGGCCATGTTGGCCTCTTGCAAGGCAAATGCCCTACCCGCTGTGCTATCACTATCTTCCTCAGGTGTAACATCCGTTGACCTATCGAGATAATTCTCTCTTCTGTTACAATCTTTTGTTTAAAGACCTCCATTTGCAATAATTTAAGAGTTCTTCAGGCATCAACTTCATTTCTTTTGCCCCAAACTAATTTTCTTGCATCAATATCTAAAATATAGAAAAATTAAAGTTGACCAATTCTACAGCATTTTTAAAATAGTGTGTCATGTCCTTAGTCTCATTATTTTAATACAAAAAAAATCTGGGGACGAAGAAGACCCACGCAGTGCTGGTTCCTAACATAGAGCTGCGAGGGATGGGAAACGGGACTGTAGAAGGCCCTCGGGAACTGCCCTTTGCCCTCTGCCTATCCAATCCAGGTATTGCTGGGCACAGGAGGCTTTTCCAGAGCAGTGAGACTGAGACTACTGGTGCAGAGCCCATTCCTAACATAGAGCTGCGAGAGACAGGAAACAAGAACGCAGAAGTCTGGCGGGATCTGGACTTCTTCCACCGAATCAATAGAGGTATTGCTGGCCACAGGGGGCCTTTCCAGGGCCGAGGGACTGAGAAGGCCCGAGCAGGGCCGGTTCCTGACATAACGTTGGGAAGGCTGGCAACCAGAAATGCAGAAGACCCGCAGGAACCGCCCATTGTCCTCCACCCATTCAATCCACGTATGGCTTGGCACTGGGGGCCTTTTCAAGGCCATGAGACTGAGACTACTGGTGCAGGGTCCGTTCCTAACATAGAGAGGCGAGAGACAGGAAACAGGAACGCAGAAGACTGGCGGAAACTGGCCTTCCTCCGCGGCCTATCCGATAGAGGTATTGCTGGGCACAGTGGGCCTTTCTAGGGCTGAGGGACTGAGAAGGCCTGAACAGGGCTGGTTCCTAACATAACACTGGAAAAGAATGGGAAAGGGGAACCCAGAAGGCGTGCGAGCACCAACCTTTGTCCTTCGCCTATCCAATCTAGATATCGCTGGGCACAGGGGGCCATTCCAGAGCAGCGAAACTGAGACTACTGGTGCAGGGTCCATTCCTAACATAGAGTGGCGAGAGACAGGAAACAGGAACGCAGAAGACTGGCGGAAACTGGCCTTCCTCCGCGGCCTATTCGATAGAGGTATTGCTGGGCACAGTGGGCCTTTCCAGGGCTGAGGGACTGAGAAGGCCTGAACAGGGCTGGTTCCTAACATAACACTGGAAAAGAATGGGAAAGGGGAACCCAGAAGGCGTGCAAGCACCAACCTTTGTCCTTCGCCTGTCCAATCTAGGTATCGCTGGGAACAGGGGGCCATTCCAAAGCAGCGAAACTGAGACTACTGGTGCAGGGCCCATTCCTAACATAGAGCTGCGAAACACAGGAAACGGGAATGCAGAAGGCCGATGGGAACTGCCCTTTCCCCTCCGCCAATTCAATACAGGTATCACTGGGCACTGGGGGTCTTTCCAGGGCCATGAGACTGAGACTACTGGTGCAGGGCCGGTTCCTAACATAGAGCTGTGAGAGACAGTAAACGGGACCTCAGAGGCCCACAGGAACCGCCCTTTGTCCTCTGCCCACGCAATCCAGGTATTGCCTAGCACTGGGGTCTTTCCAGGGCTCACCCAGAGTTGTTCTCCCCCTCTTGCCCCATGAGAACCAGAAGTTAGCCTCTTACATGGAACATTCACTGCAGCACTTTAATCAACAGAAACACATTAAACCAATAACTCATTACTCACATCTCAGTTAATAGTACTCCAAAAACACAATAGTAACAGTGAACGTGAAGGTGTAAACGACACGGGTCAACAATGGTAAAGCAATGCAGAAGCTTACTTAGTGAAGAGACTATCCCAGATGACCCCAACAGTAATGTAGTGCTAGGCAACCTCTCTGACAGGATTTAAAAGGGAGTTTCTGAGGATGCATAGGGAGCTAAAAGACGCAATGGAACAAAGCACCAATAAAATACAGGAGAATTTCAAAGTAGAAATGGGGAAAATGCAATCAAAACTACAAATGGAACTGACAGATGTGAAAAACAAGGTAAATGAATTGAAAAACTCTATGGAAGGCCTCATCAGCAGAGTAACAGCTACTAAGAATAAATCAGTGAGCTTGAAGATCACGTGCAGAGACGCTCCAGAAAAGAGCAGAAAATGGAAAAGAGACTCCCAACCAGAGAATAGATGTCAAGAGAAGACAGGGATGAAGTCAAAAGGAATAACATAAGAATTATCGGAGTCCCAGAGGCACAAGAAAAAAACCCTGATGAAGAAGAATCTGTCAAAGACATCATTGCTACAATATTCCCAGAGCTAAAGAAGACATGCAACCACATTCAGGAGGCCAGAAGGGTACCAGCTAGAAGAAACCCAAAGAAAAAGTACCCCAAGACACATCTGATGAAAATAAGGAAAACCTTAGACAGAGAAAAACTTCTGAAATCAGCAGGATTAAAGAAAAAATTGCCTATAAACGTGCATCCTTAAGACTCATAGCCGACTAGTCTGATGAAACCTTCACGGCTGGAAAACAGTGGTGGGATATAGGGAACAAACTCAAAAAAATAAATGCTTCACCAAAAATACTTTACCCAATGAGACTCATTCATATCAGAACGAATGACACACAGTATCAGAGACAAACAACAGGTCAGAGACTTCATAGACTCAAGTCATGGTTACAAGAACAACTAAATGGGCTATTTTAAGACAAAACAAGCCCCACAAATATACCAAATTTTTGCAGAAAGATGAGACAAAACCATATAACAATAATCTCTTTGAACATCAATGGTATAAACGCATCAATTAAAAGACACAGAGTGGCGGGATGGATCAGAATATTGAACCCAACATTCTGCTGCCTTCAAGAAACACATCTGAACAGTCAGAGCAAACAGACTTAGAGTCAAAGGCAGGAAAACAATTCTACGGGCAAACAATGCCAATAAAAAAGCTGGGGTGGCCATTCGGTATCAGATGACATTGATTTCAAACTGAAGAAAGTCACAAGAGACTTGAAGTTCATTTCGTATTGATCAAGGGATCTGTACAGCAGGAAGAACTTACACTCATAAGTATATATGCACCCAGTGAGGGACCAGAAAAGTGGTTAAAGCAACTAAACAGAGACTTGAAGGAAGACATTGATAGCAACACAATACTAGTGAGAGAAATGGGGAGAGCATGATGAAATGTACAGAGGATGGCTGGTCCCCCCCTTCCAGCTGCATCCATACCAGTAAAAGGGACCTCAATTTTTATGTTCCTTTTTAAACTGATATATATCAATCACACATAGTTCATATCAACTGTTTCCTTCTTTTTACAATGTACTGATTTAATTGCTAGAGTTTCTATGTGTGAATATACATATTTTTTTATAAGCACACAACAAAATGTGTCAGGTAAGCATTGAGGATTGTAGCTAGTCTTTTTTGAAGGTTTGGTGAACTTAATAGTGAGCCTATCAGAACCTGAAATATTGTTCTTCAGGGACATCTTAAATCGCTATTTCAATGTACTTTTGTATGATTGGTCTGCCAGGTATTTCCTTTGCTCTCTCATTTTTACCTCTTCCTAAATAATTTTTGGGAGACTGCAGGGTTCTAAGATTGCATTCTTTTCTTCAAGGTTCTCCAGCTTAGTGGCATAGAGTTTTTCCACAGTAACCTCTTATGATGTTTCACATTTACTTTTTTGTCTCCCTTTTAAAACATGTTCACAATTATACATAGAATTTGAGGGATTTTTTTTATGAAGCTGACATTACATATTCCTTATATAAGTAAACACAATGTAAGTGCAAACTGGGATATATAATATCATACAGTGAAACAATCAGGATCAAATACAATCATCAGAATGGACAATGACTTTAACGTATATTCATTAGTGAGTCATTATAACAGCATTAATTATCTTAACGATAGTTCATTATAACAGTGAAACAATCAGGATCAAATACAATCATCAGAATGGACAATGACTTTAACGTATATTCATTAGTGAGTCATTATAACAGCATTAATTATCTTAATGATAGTTCTACAAAGCTTACTTTAACTTACTGCTTCTATAATGGGGGAGAGCATGCTGATGTACCTCCATTTAGAAGAAAAGTTGTAAGTCTTTACATTTTTGCGTTTTTAAATAAACTGTCAGTAAAATAACAGCCCATCTTTTAGTTTCAGTTATTTCTGTTATACAATGTATTTTTGGTTTAGAAACTATTAAGTAGCATTTATTACTTAGAAACTAGTGGCCCAGCGAGAGAGTACAGCATACAGCACTTGCCTTGCACCCAGCTGACTTATCCCATATGATTGCCTAAGCCTGCCAGGAGTGATTCCTGGGGGCAGGGCCAGGAGTAAGCCCTGAGCACTGTTAGGTGTGGCCTCAAAATCAAAAATCAAAACCAGAAACTTATGTGTATAATAGTTTGTATTGAACATTTATACGAGAGATCTATGTTATTTACTATTTCTGTTTTCAGCAGAGCAAAATTCATGCAGTTTTTGCTTCCCCTATCTAAAAATTATGCCTTAAAAGTTAAGATACATAACTTTTTGTGGTACATAACTTTGCAATTATTTATATAACACAATTTGTATTTTAAGTATTACAGCCTAGACACACTCTGGAAATATGACTAATACTGAAAGTTTTACTGAGTTTATAATTAGTGGAGACAGAAAAATCTCTAGATAAGACCAAATAAATACTGTGTTAAGGAGATTCCTTGTACAATACCTTGATGTTTATTATTATTTTCTGAAAATAGTTTCTCAATTTATTTTATGTTTTCTCAAATATACTCAGTGATTATATTATCTTGATACTTAAGTGAAAATAATAAAATATACATTTCAATGTTTTTATTTTATTTCTTTTTCTTACATTATATGCTGACAATGAACAGTAATTGAAGAAATTATGAAAAATTTGCCCCACACAGCATTTAGTTAGAGCAAATTATTATCAATTAACGAATACAACACATTTATTATAAAGAGAAAATGCCTTTAGTGCTTATACTAGAATAAACATATATACTAGCTTAACTAGTATACTTCTACAAGTAATCTGTATAATAGTATAATTAATTAATAAAAATTTATTATGCAAAAATATTTATATTGATAACTATACTAGTATAATAATACATACTTTACTTGTTTTATTATATTTATAATAATAATATTTTATAATTTATAATAATAATACTTATTTTCCTAGGGCTGGAGCATTAGCACAGCGGGTAGGGCATATGCCTTGCAAATGGCCAACCTTTCTTCAATTCCTCCGCCCCTCTCAGAGAGCCTGGCTAGGTATCAAGAGTATCTCACCTGTATGGCAAAGCCTCGCAAGCTACCCATGACGTATTCAATATGCCAAACACAGTAACAACAAGTCTCACAATGGAGACGTTACTGGGCCCGCTCGATCAAATCAGTGAACAACGGGGGGGACAGTGCTACCGTGCTACTAGTTTTTACTTTACTTTCTAAAAATTAATCTGTCAGGATATCTAGCAAATTATATCTAACATAAAGATGAATATAAAATATTTGTCAATCATTTACTGATGCAATTATATAGTATTTAACAAAATATTTGACAAGAATACCTTTATTAAAATCACTGTAGTGCAGTAAAAATGAAAAATGACTTTTTTCCATTTATATTTTTTTCACTACTTATAAATAATAAGACTATATATATTCAACTTGGTAAGTACGAAAGAATACATTTCTATTAGCAAAATATTTGAGAAAACAAAATAAGTTTTGTTTTGAAAACTCATATATTAAAAAGTAGAGTTTCATAAAATGATAATTTAATTGCATTATTGAAAATTAAACTTCTCATTTAATTGAAACATTTATTCTTGCATATATTTCACAACTATTATGATTTGGACTCATAATTCAAAAAGTGTTATATTTATAATCTACAGAATAAAATGTACTACAGAATAAAATGTATCTATAATGGTTCATGTTTCTAATTTGCATGCTTATATACATAAATATAAATAAATTGGTAAATGTGCTTCAATTTTTCAAGACAGTTTAAAAAATCCTTTCTTTTCCATCTTGTGTAACATTCAAGGCATTGGTTTATCACTTTTGTTTTCAGATTTTTTTTTGATACTCTAAAATCACATGCTAAACAACTCAGTATTACCACTTTGGAGTAAGAGTTGCTCAACTAAATTGCCTCTAAACAACATTAGAATGAAATATCTAACTCTATCAATCTTTAGAATTCTGTTATAGACCAACATTTGAGAATGCCAGAACAGAGAGTCGTGGCAAACGGTTTAGGGTCAATGACCATCTGGAGTATGACTGTCACCCTGGATATGAAAACAAACATGGAAACACCTCAGGGACCATAGTATGTGGTGACAGTGGCTGGTCTGATACACCAACATGTTTTGGTAAGTTCCATTTTTCAGCTGTTCTATCTGAGAATATCAAACGAGCACTTTCCTCGAGTTATTTTGCAAGGAACGCTTATTTAAAAGTATTATCTTCTCATTTGATATAAACTAAAAAGAAAGTGTTTTAAGACCAAGAAATAAATAATCAAATCACAACAAATGGCTGCTTCCTGGAGAGGGACATGTAAAGATTAAACAATGTGATTAAAGAATGATTGTTTTTGTCACTGAAGTGCAAGTATTCACTTAATCACTTAATCACTTAACTTCCCATTAATCGTCGATTTGCTCGAGCGGACGCCAGTAACGTCTCCATTTGTCCCTGTCGTGTGCTAGTATAGCCCAATGGCGTCTGTTCACTCTAGGAACATGAAGAGCCTCAACCAATCGTTCATGATCTTGATGAAGAAGTCTGACCATCTGGTAGGTGGATGGCCACGCAGTCATTTGACATCCTGTGGAATCCAGTCGGTAACAGCTCTAGTCCAGCGGTTGTCTTTAAATCTAATTACGTGACTAGCCCATCTGGTTTTTGACACCTTGGCAAACGAGACAGCGTCCCTGATTCTTGATCATCAACAGATGTCAGAACTCCGGATTTTTTCTCTCATTTGAGTGAAACGTGATATTCCAAGCATAGCTCTTTCAATTCTTCTTTGGTAGACCTGAATAGCGTTCTCATCCTGTTTGCATAGGACCCAGGTCTCTGAGGCATATGTTAATGCAGGAAGAACAGTGGAATCAAAGAGATGTGCCCGGAACCGGAGGTTCTTCATCCTCTTAGCTATTTCTTCGATGCTCTTGAAGGCGTTCCAAGCTGCTCTCTTCCTCCTGCGCAGCTCGGGTGCCAGATCATTTGTCATGTTGACTTCTCGACCTAGGTACACATAGCTGTTGCATTCGGAGATGGTCATTCTGTTGAGAGCGAATGGGGTGTCAGGAACGAGTCTGTTTCTCATAAACATTGTCTTCATAAGATTCAGCTGTAGTCCTACCTTTCCACACTCACGGTCAAAGTCGGCCAGCATTTGTGCCGCTTGGCTGTTGTTTGGTGTTATTAAAACAATGTCATCAGCAAAGCGGAGGTGGTGTAGTTGCCGACCATCTATCTTCACTCCCATTCATTCCCATTCCAGTTGTTGCATGATGTTTTCGAGGGTGGCACCGAAGAGTTTCGGTGAAATGGTATCACCCTGCCGAACCCCTCTCTTGACATCAGTGATTACTTCTTTGTAGAATGGTGAGATCCTGGTAGTGAAACCACAATACAGCTCACGGAGGATCTTGATGTATTGGGCTTGAATGCCCTGATTGGCTAGGGCTTCAATGACCGCTTCTGTCTCAACAGAATCAAAGTCCTTCTTAAAATCAATGAACGTTAGACAGAGTGGCATCTTGAACTCCCAAGAAACCTCAATGAGCTTGGTTATCGTGTGGATATGGTCGATGGTGCTAAATCCTTTGCAGAACCAGGTTTGGTCACATGGTTGTCCTTCATCTAGTGTTCTGCCAATCCTATTTAGGATGACTCGAGTGAACAACTTGTAGATGACAGACAATAGACAGATCGGGTGATAGTTGCCAATGTCATGGATGTCTCCCTTCTTGAACAGTAGTACGGTCCTGCTGGTTTTTCATTGGGATGGAACCTTGCATTCAGACAAGTAGCGTGTGAAGAGCCGAGCCATTGTACTGATGAGTACTGACGGCAGGTTCTTCAGGTGTTCAGATCTAACCTTGTCTGGGCCGGGTGCTGTTCGTTTCTTTACCGACGAAATGGCGTGTCGGATTTCGGAAGGGACAATGTTGGGAACGACATATCCATCCTGTGGAATTTGACATGTCGGCAAGTGGACATGGTTATCGAAGATATTTGAGTAGAAGTCATGGATAATCTTCTCCATTGCCGTTCTGGAGGATGTGATAGATGCATCAGGACGTCGGAGGGCAGTCATCTTGGTCTTGTAGTTGACAAAGGACAGGGAAATAAGCTCAAGAGTTTTCTAAGACAGGCTTTTTTTTTGTTTTTTGTGACTATCTCTCTCTTGGCGTTCCTCACACAATCATGGAGGTGCTGAACCAGTCCATCGCATTCCTCGTCAATGTTGTCAACAATGGCATCTTCCCATGTTGCTGCAATAGTGCCAAAGAGCTCCCAGTTGGTGGTCGTTCTGGGAGTTCTCGTTTTAAACTTTGCAGCCCTTTCTCCCCACTCTGTGAAGTAGAGTTTTGCACGAAGGAGACGGTGCTCCGATCACGTTCAGAATGTTGAGACAACAGCGACATCAGTCAGGCAAAACCGTCGATTGAATATGATGTGGTCTATTTTGTTGTGGAATTGTCCACCGGGAGAGTCCCATGTCCAATGTTTAGATTCAGCCTTCTGGAACTGTGAGTTACCATGGATGGTCTTGGTCGACATGATGAACTCAGACAGTCTCTCACCCTGTTCATTCCATTCTAGGCCATGAGTCCCGATGTGAAGTTCTTCAGCTGATCTTCTCGGTCCTATCTTGGCATTAAAATCACTGACAATGATCTTGTAGAAGGTGTGGTCTTCTTTATAGAACTTCTCCAGCTCCATGTAGAACTTCTCAATTTCTCTTTCATCATAATGAGATGTTGGTGCATAGACAACGAAGATAGAAACTGCTGGCAGTGAGCCACATCTATTCAAATGTATACGTCCAATTTGGGTTGTTAGGCATTCGAATGAATCAATGCTCATGATCAAGTTTGTGTTGACAAGGACACCAACGCCTCCGACACCTCTTTTATCGCATGTTCCGAGGAACAATTCTTCTCCAGTGTTGAAAATGGCATGGTGAGATTCGTGCCTTCTTGTTTCGGTCAGACCAATGATGTCGTATTTGATCTTTCCCGCTTGTACCATCAGGTCGTCGATGGATGCATCTGATGCTAGCATACGTGCATTGAAAGTACAGACGATCATTTTTGTCTTCCTTCGTTGTGGCAGCCTAGTTCGGCCTTGAGATTTTATCGGCCTCTCCTTTCTCATCCTTCTCAGTGCTGTCATGTCAGTGAAGCCTTCAGGGTCAGGTGAATGAGACCCATTGTAATTTCTGGTTTTGGCATATCGAATACACAACGGATAGCTTGCCAGGCTCTGCCATGCGGGAGGAATACTCTCGGTAGCTTGGCAGTCTTTCCGAGAGGGATAGAGGCTTTTGGGGCAACCTCTAATCGCCCTGGTAGGTGTTACCATATTTGAACCCTATCAAATATAGTACGGCAATTCTGGAAGATGGGTATTTAGTGTCTTATGATGTTTCGCGCGGCCGCTTTGCAGCTGCGCAGGTCCCGAAAGCGTCCTGGAGTGTGGCGGCGGCTGGGTAGTGGAGGTAGTGTCCGTAGTGGAGGTCTGCAAGTTGGGTATTTATCTGGTCCCGGTAGGGGTAGGGTGGGTCTTCTGTGCGCAATCCGATCCCTGGGTCTCTGGTGCTTGGTGGAAGCAGACAGGGCAGGGTATGTTGGGGCTCCTGATTATAATCCCTTGTATTCAAGGGATTGCATGCAAGTTTTCATGTTGTTTAAAACATCATGCTTTATTAAATTTTGACTTCTTTCAACTTTCTCAGTTATTTTACAACAAAGTTATGGCTTGCATCTCCCCACTAAAAATTAATGTATAAAAAAAGTTGTGATATAGATGAACACATATAGGGTTCCGAAAAGAATTCAGCAAGATAGACCATATCCACACGATAACCAAGCTCATTGAGATTTCTTGGGAGTTCAAGATGCCACTCTGTTTAATGGTCATTGATATAAAGAAGGCCTTTGATTCTGTTGAGATGGACGTGGTCATAGAAGTCCTAGCCAAACAGGGTGTTCAAACTGAATACATCAGTATCCACCATGAGCTATATTACAGATTCACTACCAGGATGTCACCATGCTACAAGGAAATGATCATCCATTTCAAGAGAGGAGTTTGGCAGGGTGATAACATTTCACAGAAACTCTTCAGTGCCACCCTCGAGAACATTTGCAACGACTAGAATGGTAAGGAATGGGAGTGAAGAAAGATGTTGGCAACTATACCACCTCTGCTTTGCTAATGACATTGTGTGAAAAACAGCAAATATTAGCCAAGTGGCACAAATGCTGGCCGACTTCGACCATGAGTGTGGAAAGGTTGAAGGTAGACCACATCTAAACTTCACAGAGACAATGTTTAAGAGAAATGGTCTCGTTCCGCACAGTCCATTCACTCTCAAAGGAATGACATCTCCAAATGCGACAGTTATGTATACCTAGGGCAAGAAGTCAACATGACGAATGACCTGGCACCTGATTTGCGTAGGAGAAAGAGAGAAGCTTGGAATGCCTTCAAGAACATTGAAGAAATAGCTAAGAGGACAAAGAACCTACAGCTCCAGGAACGTCTCTTGATTCCACTGTTCTTCCTGCATTTACATATGCCTCAGAGACCCGGGCCTTACGAAAACAGGATCAGAACGCTATTTGGGTCTCCCAAAGAGGAATCGAAAGAGCTATGCTTTTCATGCTTCACTCAAATGAGAGAAAGAATCCAGAGTTTCAGATTCTTTGTCAACAGTCAAGAATCAGGGACACTGTCTCATTTTCCAAAGCATCGAAAATCAGGTGGGCTGGACACATAATGAGATTTGGAGATGACCGCTGGACTAGAGCCATTACTGACTGGATTCCATGGTACGTCAAAAGATTGCATGACTGCCACCTATGAGATGGTCTGATTTCTTCAACAAGACCCTGAAAGATCGGTTTGAGGCTCTTTTTGTTCCTAGAATGAGCAGATGCCATTGGGCTACACTAGTAGTGACAGGGAAGAATGGAGACTTTACTGGCACCTGCTTGAACAAATCAATGAGTAATGGGATGCCAAGTGATCAAGAGATCAAGTATTAGATGCGCAATGGATACGATGCAGTCACAAGAAAGATGAAATCATATAGCTCACTGCAAATTGTTTGGAACTGGAAAGTATCATGTTAAGCAAAATAAGTCAGAGGGAGAAGGACAAATACTAGGAGATCTTATTCATCTATAGTATATAGAAAGACAAAACAAAGGCATAGGCAATATTAAACAATGACAAACCCTTGGTCTTGAGTTACAACATTCCAATTACAGAGCATTAGGAAAAGATTGGAGAAATGCAGAGGTGAACTTGAAGTGAACTAGAGGCAGACAGTCTTGAGCACTTTGCTGGTGTGGAGGTGAAAAAGTCCTGCACATCAAACCATAAATGCTAACATTATTATAAACATGCAGCTTACTCTATAGTTAAATAATACTTAACGATATGGAAAAATTTTATGAACAAAGGCTAAACAGAAAACAAAGAGAAAATGTCCCTAAGGCAACACTTGTAGTGGGCAAAGGACTGTTTAGTAGTCCTTGGAAGGTATAAATGGCTGGGATAAAATAGGGTGAGGGCTGAGGAGACACAGCAGAAGACATATTTGAGTTCTGTTCTGGCATTTTTTTACTATCAAGTATTAAAATCAAAGTTAAGCAATCAATCATATGACTGATTTTAAAGCAGCAGGTAAATAGAAATACAATTTTAAGGTGGTGCTGGCTTGAGAGAGAGGAATGTGAAATGGTCTCACTAGGGAGGAATGTAAAATGTTTTCACTGGGTCACATTTTGACTGAGTTAAACGTGAAAAATATAAATTAGATATGTAAGATACAGAGCTGAATATATGGAGCTAATTAGAAACATACATTTATCATCTACGTGTAAATCATGACATCACACTGGAAATTTATAAATGATTTAAAGAGAGGATCTCTTGAGACTGAACTCTAAGAAGCATTTCAATATTATACGTCTGATAGACTAAGAACAGAAGGCAAAGCACCCCAAAAATTGGACCTCAGAATTGAGTGAAGTAACTGTAGTATTCAAAGTTCTTACGATAAAATGATGGAGAATAGGGAATTCTAATAGACCAATTATTAGTGAAACTCATGCAATGGGGTTCTAAATCCAATTTCATTACTAACTAAGCATGTTTTCTAGAGCAGCAATGAAGAGTAGTTGAAGATCATTCATTGTTCCTTTTTTGTAAAATGTTTAAAATTTATTAACGTTCTTGTACTTCAAAAGATTATTTTGGCTATTAGGTTAAAGTACCGCTATAATATTTTTGAGACAGTCTGATTCCGAAGTTAGGCAAAAGAAATTTATCTAATTAATTATTATAGTAATTGGACTGGTGCTTTTTCTAATTCAGTCAATACAACCAGTTAGAGTATAGCAAATATGTAGTGCATTTGACCAAAAGTAAACAACTGAAGCAATTTTGGTGAAACAAGGAGGACAGAATGTTCATAGAATCCCGTGAAGAAAAATAATCAGTAAGAGATGGAAGCCAAGAGAGTCTAAAAGAGTTTTAAAAGCACCCCTGTAGCATCAACAAAAAGAATGCATGAAACTAAACCAAACACAGCATCACACAGAGTTTTCGAGAGGAAATAAGTTCACCAGCTAGCACAGCTATCAATCTGGGGACATGTGACTCTGAGGAATGCAGAATAGTTTCCCTATGGAGAGGAAAGTGTTCAGAGACTGGAAAGGAAAGCGAACCTGCCATCCTTTCCTGGAATGAAAGATACAATCTTAGGCAAAGGTTCTGAATTCAAGGTTTTGCAAAATTTCGGCTATAATTTAACACTCTCTGTGTTGAAAACAGATCCAGATCTGGTTAATCCTAACACTAGTGAGGTAGGATACTTCCCCTGATATCCAACCCACCAGCACGATTTCAACCTCAACTCTCAGTACATGAGTTCCCTGATGCAGGTTTGCTGATATAGACTTGACACAATGGACAGGTCACAGTGAGGACTCAGTACAAAGATTTTTAAAGTGAATGAAGCTTTGTATATGTACTTGCTAAGTCAAAGAGTCTTGGCAATTGTATCCAAAGAAACCAAGATAAGGTCATATGTGCTTGAAGAAGCTATCCCCAGGTTAAAATGTAAACATGCCCTACTATCTAATAAGATTAGCTTGATGAATAGCTGTTGCTTGGAACATGTGACCAATATTCTGTCACTACCCAATATTACTACATTGGACGTCAGATCTAGCAACTGTGATCCCTGACCAAGTAGATTTTGGTAATATAGCAACTATAAGACATTGGTGACCATAAATTCCCTGTTGTCATTTAGGTGCACACAATTCAAAGAAATAGACACTAATTAGATACTGCAAACATTTAACAAATTATCTCAAGGTAATCCATGGCTGCCAGAAACCACTAGAATTATAGGAATCAGCTTAATATTGTGAATGAAGCACTGGGTTTATTCTCGGGAGAATTCAAAGTGTGCCCTCCACACTTAACTGCCATGAAATGCCTTTCCAAAAAAGCCAGTCACACAGAAAATAAAATGGGCCGATCAGGAGTAAGGATATTGAAAAATAATTGAAAATTTCCCTAAGAACAAATGCCCAGGTCCTGATGAACACTAATGTGTTCTACCAAAAGTTCAAATAGGTCTCACTATCTGTACTCGTGAAGCATGTCCAAACTATTAAAGAAACAGCAATCCTTCCTAAAATCTTATGAACTTAATATTACCCAATACCAAAGTAAACAGAGGTATTACTGAAAAAAATTCCAGATTGATATCTCTGACCAACTTTGATGCAAAATTCTCCACAAAAAATCTTAGTGAGCCAAGTTTAACAATATATCATCATGATCTAGTGGGATTCATTCTAGGAATGCAAGGATGGTTCAGTATATGGAAATCAATTAATGTAATAAATCCAAAAATAAAGATAAAATCATATGAGTTTCTAAGTTATTTGACCTAAATAAAGGTAATGTATTTTGACAGACAACGTATATATATACACATAATATTGCTGACATACATTCTTAAAAAAGAACTTAGATGCAAGAAGCATTTTCTAAATCAATTCATGTAGCACTGCACTGTCATCCAATTGTCAATCGATTTGCTTGAACGGGCACCAGTAACGTCTCCATTGTGAGACTTGTTGTTACTGTTTTTGGCATATCAAATACACCACGGGGAGCTTGCCAAGCTCTCCGTGTGGGCGGTATATTCTCGGTAGCTTGCCGGCCTCTCAGAGAGGGACTGAGGAATCGAACTCAGGTCGGCCGCATGCAAGACATAGAACAGTTTGAAGTTGAGGAAGGTGTTGTCTCCCATATTCTTTTTTCCCAAGGATTGCTTTAGGTATTTGTGGAGACTTATTGTTCCTTATGAATTTCAAGAGTATTTTGTGTATTTCTTTGAAAAATGTCATGGTTATCCCATAAGGACCACATGGAATCTGTAAAAAGCTTTGGGGAGTATCGCCTTTTTGACAATGTTAATTCTCCCAATCCATGAACAGCAGGTGTGTTTCCATTTCCTCCTGTTCTCTTATTTCTTGAAGTAGAGTTTTGTAGTTTTCTTTGTATAGCTCGTTTACCTCAATAGTTAAGCTGATTCTAAGGTACTTGATTTTCTGCGGCACAACTGTGAACAGGATTGGTTTTATTATCACTTTCTTCTCTTTCATTATTTGCATATAGGAAAAACATGAACTTTTGGATATTGATTTTGTAAACTGCCATTCTACTATAATTAACTATTGTTTCTAGGAGCTTTTGGTAAAGATTTTAGGGTTTTCTAAGTACAGTATTATGTCATCTGCAAATAGTGAGAGTTTGACTTCTTCCTTTCCTACCCGGATGCCCTCAATATCTTTTCTCTTGCCTAAATGCTGTGGCAAGTACTCTATTGAATAGTAGTGACAAGAGTGGGCAACCTTGTCTTGTACCTGGTCTTAGTGGGAAAGCCTGTGGTTTCTCCCCCTTAAGAATAATGCTTGCTGTGGGCTTTTGGTAGATGGCTTTGACTCCATTGAGTACATATAGTGTATTTGACTATATTGACGTTCCTTCAACTGCCATTTTGTTGAGAGTTTTTATCATGAATATTTGCTGAATCTTGTCAATGGATATAATTCATGTATCGACATATATTTAGGCTTTCAATATCACCTTTCCATGTTCTAGTTATAAATGTGATTCCAATCATTTGATGTAATTAAGACTGATACCAATTTATTACATTATAATAAAAGTTTATTAAGACATATTGATTTGACCTGTATCTATTATCTCAAATATAAATGTGCACCATTAAATGTTTTGCTTTAAAAATTCACTACATAAGTCTGTATCCTTTTTTCGTTCAGAAATAAGTATTTAAACTTACCAATTTTGGGGCTGGAGTGATAGCACAGTGGGTAGCATGTCTTGCATGTGACTGACCTGGTTTCTATTCATTCCTCCCTCTCGAGAGTGTAGCAAACTACAGAGAGTATCGCATCCACATGGCAGAGTTGGCAAGCTCCCCGTGGTGTATTTGATATGCTGAATACAGTAACAAGTCTCACAATGGAGACATTACTGGTGCCTGCTTCAGCAAATCGATAAACAACAGGAAGGAGGTGTTACAGGTGTTACAGTGCTAAAATTTTAAATTATGCTAAGCACATAATTCCAAAGAAGAAAGTATTTTAACTCAGGACAAAAGGTTATGTACATGGACATCTAGAAAGATAGGAATTAAAAGCCCAGGACTTGCATGTTGCCAACCTTTTTTCAATCACTGGCAAAACCTAGCCACATCATAATAACCATATTATGCTATTTTTATTTGCTTTATTTCAAGTTGCTATGCTCTTTGGTATAGATACTAAATTTTTATACAATAAATAATTTGTTAATCTTTGATTAATGATATCAAATATATACTTTTAGATCCTAAAGAAAAATGTGGACGTCCTCCAGCCATTGACAATGGAGATATTACCTCAATGCCTTTAAAAGAATATGCTCCAGGATCATTAGTTAAGTACCAATGTCAGTCCTACTATAAACGACGGGGCAATAGTACCATAATATGTAATAAAGGAAAGTGGACAATACCACCAGAATGTTTAGGTAAGTATTTACATATTCTTTTGCATTCTGAAAAAAATTAATGTGAAGTTCTTTGTTTCAATAAAATTTTCAAGTATTACAAAACTAGTGCTCTGTTGAATGTTTGGTGATTATTATTATAGAAGAATATAAAATGATCTTCGTTAAGTAATAAAGGCAAAGAAAGTTTCTTTAATGAAAACTCTTATTAAGATGGGCCAGCGTGATATCAAAGCAGGTAGGGGGTTTGCCTTGCATGCAACCAACCAGGGTTCGATTCCTCCACCCCTTTCAGAGAGCCTGGCAGGCTATAGAGAGTATTCCGCCAACATGGAAAAGCCTGGCAAACTACCCTGACGTAGTCGATATGCCCCAAACAGGAACAACCAGTCTCACAATGGAAACATTACTGGTGCCCGCCCGAGCAAATCGATGAACAATGGGAGGACAGTGCTACAGTAGGACAGTCCTTATTAAGATATTTGACATATATATCTTTAATTCATTTTATTTTAACAAATTAAACTAGTACCATTTTACTTGATTCACAATTTAAATAATTTCAATACATACAATGTATTTTGCATGTGTAAAATGTTTGATATTTAATTCTTGAGTCAGAGAAGACTGTATTTGATAGTCTGAAGTTAAGTGGAAATTTCTTGTATACTCTTAATGTTTTATATTTTTGCCTTCAGATCCTTGTGTAATATCAGAAGACATCATGGATAAACATAATATACAAATACAAGAAAGAAGAGGAAAAGAGATTTATTTTCAATGGGGGGAAACTGTTAAATTTATGTGTAAACGTGGGTATCAAAAACAGACTGAACAGAAATCATTTCGAGCAACCTGTATGAATGGAAACCTGACATATCCAAAGTGTGAATAAAAATATTTGAAATCTTATCTAAGCAGTCATAAACTTAAAATATGTACAATTATTTAGACTTTTCTTCATTAATCCATTCTTCTTAACTTTACTTTCAAGTGTAACCTAACACAATTTACTCAGAAGTCAGAATTTATGTAACCTACTATGTTGACGCAATTATAGTCTCATGATAATGATCATGACCATCCTGTTATTCGTCCATTGCCTCAACCAGGCCCCAGTATAGTCTCCTTTGTCCTAGCCCTGAGATTTTTTAAAAAGTGCCATATTCCAGGTCTTTCAGAGTTAGGAGAATGAGACCCATCATTGTTACTGGTATTTGGCATATTGGGTAAGCCACGGGGAGTTTGCCAGACTCTGCCATGTGGGCAGGTTACATTCGGTAGCCTGCCAGTTTGTCCAAAGTAGGAATGGGATAATAAGATGTCATAATAAGATGTTGCGTGGCCTCAAATGCAGCCACGTGGTTCCGGGAGCTGGGTTTTATAGTCTCTGAGTCTTGGCTGCTTATGGGATTTTACGGTGCCTGGGGGCCAGTTAGTGGGTGTGACTCCTGCCTACTGGAATTTGGAGGATCTGGGTGGAGGATGCTCAGCCCCGATCCGAGCAGGCTTGGAGATCTCAGCCCCAGGATCCGCATGCCTTTGTTCCTCTGCCGGTACCTTCATGTGTGTGGAGAGTGGTGTCAGCATGGTGGTAACTGGTTCTGGAGGTCTTCGGCTGCCGGAACCCTGGTCGGGGCAGGGAGGGAAACTCAACCCGCTCCCCTCCAAGGGGCCCCGGTGAGGACAGCCAGGCCTGGGGGCAGGAGACTCATTATAGTCTCAGAGATTCATAAATCACATTGCAAATGTGCCACATTAAAATTTTGTGAAACGTGGGCCTGAGGTGATAGTACAGAGGTTAGGGTGCTTGACTTGCATGCACCACATATGGTCCTTGAATCGGCCAAGAGTGATCCCTGAATGCAAACATGTGTAAAACCTGAGTACTTCTGGGTAGGACACAAAAATAAATCAATAATAGTGAAATGAAATGTGCAGTTTGCAATCATGTAATACCAATGTTTAAAAAATTGATGTATAACCTTTACTACCTGTTTTTTTCCCTTTATTTTATTTTATTTTTTTACAGTTGTAAATTTACAATTTTTTGTGCTTTGGTTTCAATTATACAATGATCAGATACCCATCCCTCCACCAGTGCCCATTTTCCACCACCATGGATAATATCCCTCCCACCCCCATCCCCCTATCCCCGCTGTCTCTGTGGCAGGGCAATCCCCTGTGTTCTCTCTCTCCTTTTGGGTGTTGTGGTCTGCAAAAGAGGCATTGAGTGGCAAACATGTTCAGTCCATAGTCTACTTTCGACATGCATCTCCCCTCCTGGGAGGATCCTCCAAACATCCTTTATTTGGTGCTCCCTTCTCTGTCTGAACTGCCCTTTCCTCTAGGATACCCGGCTTACTACCTGTTTTTAATTCATGATTTTCCTAGCGTTATAAAGCCATTTTTCTATAAATTCTAAGAATTTGAGACTCTCTAATTAAGTAGAATTATAGATCTATGTCTGTCTTTGTCTTTGATATATCAATGCATGAACATGTAAAGCCCAACTTAAACCATAACTCTTGGTTTGATCCGCAGCATCCTATAAGGTTTTCTGTGCTTGCCTGACATTATACCTGAGCCCATAGCCTGGAGTGGATAAATAGTAAGCTAAATCATAACAATGTTAGCAATAAGAAGTAAGTAGCTCTCATATATTTCTGGCTCTGGGCTCAGAGATCACTTTTAACCAGGTGCAGGAGATCTTATGCAGTGCCAGCAATAAAACTTGCATGTAAGGTATATGCAAAGTAAGCACCTTACCCATTTTCCTATCTGTCCAATCCCTTATTTTTTTCTTTCTTTAAAATAGTATTATCAATTTCATTTCAAAGTTCTAGAATAGAAATTAAACATGTGTTCATTATTTGACTTGAAGTTCATGTTAAAGTTTTTGGAAGAAATTTTAAATTTTAAACATTTGTAGTTATCAACCATTTTTTATATTCCTTCAACTATTGAGTAATAGACCTCAATGCCTTATTCTTAACCAAATATGTGTACTGTTTTTGTATTAAATAGTGTTATAATTAAATACATTGTTTACAGAATCAGGTTTTAAACTTAAAATTTCTTTCCATGGGGTTCCATTGAGATTCACCTCCCATGGACGCTGTGTAGACATATGAGGAAATAGTGGATAGGAAATTTCCAAGTAAGAAATTTGTGTTGCTGATCACCATGATAAGTACATAAATTAATCTGATATAAATTATTCAGTTTATTATTGAAGACTTAATTGTCTTGCATTACAAAATTACTAGTATTATGAAATAATTATAGTAACATTAATAAAATGGTTCACTTTGCTTGTGGATTTTGTATGAATCACCTACTTGAAATTTCTCTATTATTAATTGCATTTTTAAAATTATAGAAATGAGCTCCTACATTCATAAAAAAAGTAGGAAATCATTTTATCAACTGACTATATTTACCCTAATTTAAATAGAGCATCAAATAATATTAAATAAAATTTAATTTCAAGAAAATATTGAAATTTTAATATTTGACATTGTGTTCTAATGTAAGTTTAAAGAAAAAGTAAATATGCTAATTTCACCAAAATTTAAAGTGTAAGAAAATTAATGAGGACAGAAAAAATGTTTTATAAGTCCGGTAAACAGAACTATGATGATCTGAATGAATAAGGGATACAGGTGACAGGGCTAGAAATAGTCAAGTCATCAAGAGTAAACAGACTAAAGAAACCATGGTATATGTAACACAATGGAATACTACACAGCCACTAGGAAAAATAAAGTCATGAAATCACTTATAAATAGATGAACATGGACAATATCATGCTGAGTAAGATTAGTAAACGGAGACAGACAGATATAGAAAGATTGTAGTATATAAAATATTATAATATGGGACTAATAACAGACAGTAAGAACAAGGGCTGGTAGGACAGGTCCATGGACAGACATTTGCCACAAGTACAAGGGCTGGGAAGGATCCCTTCTTGGATAAAGAAGGGACCAATAAGACAGAAATAGCTTGAAATGATCATTGTGGACAAGAACTGAGTGGTAAAAGTAGGGAAAGAAATATATATGATAATTTCTCAGGACCTATATTGAAAACCCCAGTGCCCAGAAGGAGAGGGAAAGAAAGAGAGGGAGAGAAAGAGAGGGAGAGAGAGGAGGAGGAAATTGCCTGTTATAGAGTAGAGGTGGGCTGGCTTGGGGGTAGGGGGAAGACAGAGCAGGTGGGGAGGGTGGCTGGAGGGTAGCTTGGGACATTGGTGACAGGAAAAGTACAATGGTAAAAGGATGGCTTTAGGAACATTGTATGACTGTAACCCAATGATGAGCAATGTTTTAGGTGTGTATATCACAGTGATTCGATTAAAAAGAATAATTTTTTTATTAGTGAAACAATATGAGGTACAGTTGTAGAATTACAAATTTTCATGCTTGGGTTTCAGTTATACAATGATCGAGTACCTATCCCTTCACCAGTGCCCATTCTCCACCACCAACGATCCTAGTAGCCCTCCCACCCCCTCCACCCTATCCCGCCACCCTGCTCTGCCTTTGTGGTAAGGCATTCCCTTTTGCTCTCTTTTCTTTTGGGTGTTGTGGTTTGCAATGGAGGTATTGAGTGGTCATCATGTTTGGTCTGTAAACTTTCAAGCTCTCATCTTACCTCCCAGGCAGATCCTCCAAACATCCTTTCCTTGGTGTTCCCTTCTCTATCTAAGCTTACTTTTCCCAAAGCATGTGCTGTTGGCTTCCAAGCCGTGGAGCAGACATCCTGGTACTTATCTCAACTATTCTTGGGTGTTCATCTACCATTCTGTTATTTCTATTCCCCAGATGAGTACAGTTTTTCTGTCTATCCCTCTCTTTCTGGCTCATTTCACTTAGCATGATACTTTCCATGTAAACCACTTGTATGCAAATTTCATGAATTCATCTTTTCTTTTCTTTTCTTTCTTTTTTTTTTTTTTTTGCTTTTTGTGTCACAACCAGCAATGCTCAGGGGTTATTCCTGGCTCCGCACTTAGGAATCACTCCTGGCGGTGCTTGGGGAACCATATGGGATGCCGGGGATCGAACCTAGGTCAGCCGCGTGCACGGCAAACGCCTTACCCGCTGTACTATTGCTCCGGCCTGAATTCATCTTTTCTAACAGCTGCATAGTATTCCATTGCATAGATACACCAAAGTTTCTTTAACCAGTCATCTGTTCTCGGGCACTAGGGTTTTTTCCAAATTTTGGCTATTGTGAACAATGCAGCAATGAAAATACAAATGCAGTTGTCATTTTGACTGTACTTTTTTGCCTCTCCGGGATATATTTCCAGGAGTGGTATTGCTGGGTCAAATAGGAGATCAATTCCTAATTTTTGGAGAATTGTCCATACTGTTTTCCAAAAGGGCTAAACCAGTTGGCATTCCAAAGAGCAGTAAAGGAGGGTACCTTTCTCACTACATCCACACCACACCGATTGCTTTTGTTCTTTTGGATATTGGCCAGTCTCTGTGATTGAGATGATATCTCATTGTTGTTTTGATCTGAATCTCCCTGATGATTAGTGATCTGGGGCATTTTCTCATTTGCCTTTTAACCATTGGGATTTCTTCTTTGAGAAAGTTTCCGTTCATTTTGTCAGACCATTTTTTTGATGGGGTTGGATGTTTTCTTCTTGTGGAGTTCAACCAGTGCTTTGTATATCCTTGATATCAACCCCTTATCGGATGGGTACTGGGCAATTATCCTTTCCCATTCTGTAGACTGTCTTTGAATTCTGGTCACTGTTTCCTTGAAGCTTCTTAGTTTAAGATACTCCCATTTGTCTATCTCTGTTTCATTTGCATGATTGGTGGCGTCATCTTTGAAGATACCATTAGCTTCAATGTTGTGGAGTGTTTTGTCAACATTGTATTCAATGTACC